GCTGTTTGATTGTTTTTAACTCAACACTTGACTAAAATGTGTTGATCAATTTAATCCTTAAAATTGTCTTTTTCACTTTTTTCTCTGAGTTCAGATATTTACCAAAAGACTTAGAGATCTTCTGGAGGGATCAAAATCTTTTGTTAAAAAAAAACCCCAAAACTTAAATAACTAACCACATGACTTGTATGTCTTCATTCATCAAATGTTTATTGAGCTGCTACTCTGTGCCAGGCATTGCAACCACACTGGGGATCCCACCATGAACAAGATCCCTGGTGCTTGCATTCTAGTAAGGAAAGACAGGTGTATTGGTTACTTATGGCCACTACAACAAATTACCACAAACTGGGTGGCTTAAAACAACAGAAATGTATTCTCTCACAGTTCTGGAGGCCAGAAGCCCAAAATCAAGGTGTCCCCAGGGCAGCACTTCTTCTGGAGTCTATAGAGGAGAATCCGTCCTTTGCTCTTTGCCTCTTCCAGCTTCTGCTGGCTGTTGGCATTCCTTGGCGTGTGGGTGCACCACTCCACCCTCTGCCTCCATGGGCATGCGGCTCCTTCTCTCTGCCTGTGTCATCTCTCTTCTCCTCTTTCTTATAAGGACACCTGTGATAGCATTTAAGATTCATCCAGATAATCCCAAACAATCGCATCACAATATCCTTAATGTAATCATATGTTACCATCTAAGGTAATATTCACTTTTTTTTTTTTTTTGCCATACATGGCAATATTCACAGGTTCTTTTGATTAGAACATGAACATATATCTTTTGGGGGCCACCATTTAACCACTACAAGGCATTGAATACATAAACAAATTCAGGCCGTTACAAAAGCAATGAAGAAAACAAAGCAGGGAGAAGGGACAAGGGAGCAACAGGGGATGCTATTTCAATAGAGGCTGGAGATGGCCTCTTTAAGGAGGTGACATTGGAGCAGAGACCAGCTCGAAGCAGAGAGAAAAGCCTTCCAGGCAGAGGGAGGAGCACGTGCAGAGACACTAAGACTAGCCGTATTCAAAGAGGTGAGAGCAGCCGAGAGACCAGGGTTTTAGAAGTGCAGTAGCATATGGGTCAGAGAGGCAGAATTGGATTTTATTCTGAGTAAAGCCCATCGGTGGGATCAGAGCAGAAGGGTAATTGATCTGACTTACATTACTGTGGCTGATGAGTGGAGAACAGATAATGGAGAGAGGGCAGTGACGTAGTATGACCACAGGGGGACATTCTGTGATACTCCAGGCAGGAGACAATGGCGCCTAGGACTACGGTCGTGGCTAGGCAGTTAGTGAGAAGTGGTCTGATCGGAGATATGTTCTAAAGGGTGAGTCAACAGGGTTTGCTGACTGAGTGAATGTGGGTGACTCTAACATTTTTTTACCTGTGTGACTGGAAAGATAAGAGTCACTGTCAACTGAGCTTTGAAAAATGGGAGAAAAGCAGGTTTGGGGATCAAGAATTCCATTTTGGAATTTGAAATGACTTTTAGACATCCAAGTGGAGTCTGGGGTTTAGGGTGAAAGACATAAATCTGGTTGTCACTGGTGAATAACTTGTATTTAAAATCACCAAGAACTGTAGTTTGAGAAAAGGACCAAAACTGAGCCCCAAAGCACTCCAAAATTAAGAAATCAGGAGAAGTGTGGAAACCTGGACAAAGGTCTGTGAAGTGAGCTAGAGAAGAAGTAAAACCATGAAA